GCTCTCTGGGAGACATCTAAAGGAGTCTGTGCTGCCCTGGCCGGTTTGGCTCAGCGGTTAGAGTGTCGGCCCATGGACCACAGAGGCCCAGGTTTAGTTCCTGCTAAGGGCACGTACCTTGGTTGCAGTTTGTCCTCGCCCGCATGGGGTCGTGTGGGTGGTGACCAATCGATGTGTCTCTTTCATGTTGATGTTTCTCTCTCTCTTTTCCTCCCTCTCTCTTTCCCACTCTGTCTGAAGATAAATGCAAAAATGTTTTCGGGTGAGGATAAAAAAAAAGGATAGTCTGTGCCTTCAGAGATCATAGCAATTAAGGATGAACCACGGGGAAAGAGTGGTGAGCACGTAGGGGTTGTGAGGCTTATTTTTCTACCTCACTTCTAGCTCTGTGTATTGAGAAGTTTCAAGTTCCTAGAGGGGCCAAATATGCTCACACACACATGCGCGCGTGCACACACACACACACACTCTTCCTAATAGTTTTAGGTGGGAGTGGCTCTCAGTGTGTCTAGCAGAATGGTGCAAGAATAATTTTTATCCCACTAAGTGTTTGGACGTAGTGAAAAGCTCATCTCCTATCAAAGGACTTTGCATCAGCCACAAGGGACAACTCGGACAACACCTGTGAACTGATGGCAATGTTTACATACAAAAATGATGTCGCTGTAGATGCCAATATAGATATGGACATCAAATATCGGTTGAACTATTTTGACGCCATCCGAGGTAAAAGAGAGGTACACATGTTTAAATACTTGAAAGAAATAGTTTTGCTCTCCTAATGGAAAAAATATAGCATACACTTATTGAACTTTTACTACATATCAGAAAGCCACAAAAATTATCTTACTTAATTCTCACAACTACTATATGTGATAGATATTATTTTAATTCCATTACTAGACACAACAATTTATCAAGACAAATGTAATGTTCCCAGAAGCTGGAATGGAATGGACATTTAAAGCAGAAGTTGAGATTCATTTTAAAATAATAAAAATTGAATAGAGCTGTTTCGCAGATTGGTGTGTGTGTACTCTGTGGATATGAGAGACAGCGTGTGGGTATGTAAAAGCATCTGTAGGACGTCACTGGTTATCCCAGGCTGGCGTGGATTGGGCAGCACTCCCTCCGTTTTCTGTTTCCCATGGCAGCTTTTCCTATCCGTGAGTCAAGTTGACTCTCAACTTCAACCACAGTTTACAACTGCCAAATCACATCAACTCTGAAGCTACTTTGAAGGTCCAACTTCTCTGTTTGCTGAGCTGTGTTCAATTCTCTTTGTAGCTCTGCTCTTAAATAGAGAAGGGAAAATGATTATAACTCCCTCCCCTTCCACACACAAATCAGTGAAAGAAAAAAAAGAAAAGAAGTTGTAGCTTTATTCCCTCCTACATGGAATTGCAGACATAACATTGTAAAAGGACCTAGGAAAATAGGAAATTTCTTTCATCTCATGGTACCCTTCATGGGCCAAGAACCGTTCGTATATGTATAATGAAATATTTCCAGAGAAACAATAGGAATGACTTTTATTTTTATAATAATCTCATCACATATCCATTTTATCATGCAGAAATTATGATGTTTTTGATTCATAAAATGTTTGGATGGCATTTTTTAATATAAATAATTCAGAGGAAAGGAAAACACTTAAGAAATGGAATTCACCCTGCTTTTGTTCTTGGGGGTTGAGAGGTAACCTAACATAGAATAAACAGTTTTAATGTGTTTGTTATAATGCCATTCTTTAATAGCATTTTATGTAAGTAACACTCAAGGATGGCAACATAATAGCCCTGAGAAATACACAATTGAAACTGAGTGGAAAGCATTATTTTATGAGGTGAATAGACAAATACATTAGTCAGTAGAGTGAAGATGGCATGTTTTTTGTTTTTTTTTTTTTTAATCTTGGAACTAGTTCTAATTCTCAATACCTGTGCACTCTGAAAGTAACCTTGTGATGAAACCATAAAAATTGAAATATATACCTGAGGCCCTTTAGAGAAAGCAATTAAATTCACCAAATAGCACAAACAGAATTTGTAGCAATTGTTTTTTATTTTTTAATCCCTTCCCCTTTTTCACCCTTCCCCCAATTCTCCTCCTATCTGGCAACTATCAAAATGTTCTCTGTATCTATGGGTTTGTTTCTGTTTTGTTTGTTTATTTCTTTTCTTGTTTTAGATTCCACATATAAGTGAGATCATATGGCATTTGTCTTTCTCTGCCTGACTTATTTCACTCAGCACAACACCCTCTAGGTCCATGGTGAATGTTGTTTTTTATTTTTACTGTTGTATTACGGATGTTGCCCCTTTTTCCCCCACTGAACCTCTCTCCCCACTCCCACCCACCTCCTGCTTTCCTGACACTATTTTCTGTGTCCGTTTGTTAGGCATACAAATTCTTTGGTTAATCTCTTCCCACACCACATATTCTTTACTTCTGGATCTATTTTGATCAACTTATTTTGTTCATTATATTCCATAAATGAGATCATGTGGTACTTGTCTCTGACTGGCTTATTTCACTTAGCATAATACTCTCCAGATCCCTCCATGTTGTCTCAAAGGATAAGAGATCTTTCTTTCTTACAGCTGCATAGTACTCCATTGTGTAAATGTACCACTGCTTTTTTATCCACTCATCTCCTGATGGACACTTGGGCTATTTCCACATCTTAGCTATTGTAAATAGTGCTGCTATGAACACAGGGGTGCTATATTCTTTCTGATTGGCGTTTCAGGCTTCTTAGGATATATTCTGAGAGGTAAGATCACTGGGTCAAATGGCAGTTCTATTTTTAATTTTTTGAGGAAACAGCATTCTGTTTACCATAGCGGCTGCACCAGTCTGCATTCCCACCAGCAGTGTACTAGAGTCCCCTTTTCTCCACACTCTCGCCAGCACTTGATGATTTGTTGATGGCGGCCATTCTGCAGGTGTGAGGGCATAGCATTTGGTTTTGATTTTGCAGAGGGAATTGTATTCTTGTGGAAAAAGATGATTGGATAAAAGAATGGTGTTATAAATTAAGAAAATTAATAAAAATTATTTTCCACAACGGGCTCCCACAGCTTTGTCATTAAGCATAAAATTCTCAATGCCTCTTGTTAAGAAAACATTTTTACTTAGTCTGTTTATTTCCTTGTCTAGACTTAAAATTTTTACAGGCTTAACTATGCTTGAAAACAAAGCTGCAGTCTCTCGTGAATTTAACCAGAAGAATAGATATAAGAAACTGTCATCTTTTTCTAAAAAATTTTCTTCATTTAGATAGGAAATATAGATCTCCAGAAGTGTATAAAGGCTATATTAAAATTACTTTAAATTAAAGTGAAGTTGAAATATAAGCAAGAAAGATACTGAGAATGAGCCAGTTAGGGAGTAATACAGAATCATCACATTGAAAGATTTGTTGCGATGACTTTTAATTTTTGTTGTTTCCCTTTTCTGTACTTCCATTGCTACAGATTTTAAGCCCAGAAATAGAATAAACCTCAGAATCTAAATTTTGCCAGGCAGATGCTTTATTCAATATCCAATTAAATATTAATTTACTAACTACATTTAGCTTATTATCTTACACAGAGTGAACATTCACTGTAATGACAGTTTCATCATGCTAAAATCTATTCACAAACCTACACTTTGGAAAAAAAGTGCTTTTCTAGGAAATGTTATATACAATACAAATGGAGAACACATTAAGTCTTCGAATTGTCAAACTACACAAAATAAAACCTATCAACCACCAACATTCAGTATACGTCAACAATATTTTTGAAAAAAAATTTCTCTTTACATTTGGCAGTTATGTTCAAGAAGGATTTCTATAATTTTAAAAGTAGTAAAAGTATATACAATTTAATAATGTTAAAGAAAAGGGTATTAAATAGCACAAATAATATTACAAAACTAAACACTCTTATCAGTTTGGACTTATCTGCAGCAAGGGGTCCTGTGTTCCCCTGCCCTTTCATTCTAAGCCAATTGTACTTTCAACTCTGTACATAGAAGAGCTTGACCATAAACACAGAAGATAGTTTTGGCTTTTTATACACTTTTCTATTCTGCAGGGAGAGGAGAAATTAAGAGGTTTATTTACACCCTTTAAGCAGCTAAATTATTTGTATAATTTGCTTTGGAGACTATGTTAGCATCATACACATTTGCAACAATAGCTTTCAATTAATAGCTTTTCTTTAAAAATGAACATTATGTTGCATTCAACTGCTATTTTTGCCCCATTGAAGCCTCCTCGTATAATATCATAATTTACCACCACTTAGATAATTAACATATTCTTAGATTCTGGTCAGTGATTACATTTATTTTGACAGTGATTTTTAGTTCTTGAAGCCTCATAGTGCAGTTCTTAAAAAGGTGACATATTTACCATTACATTCTTCATGGACTGTTAAATGAAAATGAAACTTTTGTACTAAATTTTTATTAGGTATACCATAAAATTTCTGTTTGTACCTGGAAACATGAAAATATCTTTAAAGGTAAATAAAATAAAAGAGAAAAATTTATGACTGCAACAGAATTATGAAACTATGAAGACGTTTTCATATTTCTTTCATCTAACTGTTATTTGGAGTAAAAAACTCAGTATCAAATTATTCTAATAAAATGATTCAAACATACAAATAGAAAATAATTATTTTATTCGTCACAAAAATCCCTACATTTGTATTTACATACCAGTGGACACAATGAACCAACATTCTTTTAAAAGAAAGTTATGACTATTTTTGTTCAGACTAGATTTTTTTCCCCATTTCTCCACAAAATGAGTACCTCTCCAGCACACACTAAAGATCATTAAAAATGAACTGGTGACTTAAAAACCAATGTGATATCTGGTGTTGGTAAACAAAAAATATGTGAGTAAATTATGGAATTAATTATTAAAGTTAAAAACTAGTCACATTTTTATAAACTTTTGCTAATAAAATTGCATTTTCTACTTTGTTTTTCTTATTATTTTGATGGTTTTACCCCTCATATACAAGTTCAATATGTTTTTAAAATTTTATTCTTATATTGTTTAATTTGCCACACAGACTAAAAAATTAGAATGAACTCAATAATTTATTAAACAATATGAGTCTAGAATAACTTAAATGACTTCCAAAAAAAGTGCTTTTGTTTGGAAGATGATAACATAAGAATAAACTTAAATGCTTCACTGACATAACTCCAATCAAAGACATTTATTGTGAAAGTCATTCATTTTATCTTCCTGAAACAATGTCAGCAACTGACAATTTTTACAAAATTAAAAGTAGCCAACAACATATTTTACTAGAAGCATATCAACTCTTCTTTTTTTCTTCATGATCCACTTTTGTTTTAGGTAACTCTTAGATGCTCTCTCCCTTGTCTTTTCTTTCTGCTATACATTTATTTGACAGCTACTCTGTCACATGCATTTATATAACTTTTACCAAGTAAAAGTTGTGGACTTGGTATTTGTTTTCATATATGAAATCAGTGACAGTTAGAAAGCTTTAAAGCAAGGAAACAAGATCACAGGGTTATGGCCCTCGTTCAATCAAGGGATATAAGAATTCTAGTTTTATAACCAACACATGGATTTGAATAAAAGGTAAATAAGAACATAAATAAAATCTAGGTTAATTTAAATATTTATATGCACCATGAGGACCATGACATGTCTAGTGCTAGTCAATATCATACACGTAGATGCATGCTCATTTCAGTTCATGTAACATTCGTTTTAGGAGTGTGTAATCACCTTTCTTGGGGACTTCCCATGGGTAAAAATAAGATTCTTTGTTCAGAATTTGATCACTGAAGACAGACAGACCATTGAAGACCACAGAAAGCATGAGCCCCATGTAAGAAAACATTATGACTCTGGCAACCAATTCCTCCTGTTTCTACTTTTCCGGCTATTGATGAGAGCCTTTAACTTGCCATAGTCCCCTCTCATCTTCTGGGGTTCTTCTCCATGTTGATGTTGCTGCCGGGTGTCTTTGCAGTATTGATTAATCATCTGCATTTCTGAGTGGCTGAATGCCCCCAGGATGTCCTTTGGGTGGAAGGGTAAAGCCCTCACAGAGCTGGCCCAGGTCCATGGGGACCATTTGTCTGTTACAACAGCTACCATTTCAGAATCCAAAACTTTAAAGTTGATCTTGGCTATGGTCTGCTTGAAGCTGTTTTCTGTTGCAATGCAGTGATACAGTCCTTGGTCAGAATCCTGAATGGAGCGGATTAGGAGCCCTTGTGAAGTGGCTATGATGCGTTCATTTAGCTTGACCTAAAAGACAGACAGCAAAGTTCTGAAAACTCAACTCTCTATCTTCTAAAAATATTTGGGCAACACATACAGAATACCACTGATTTTTCACAAATCTGGCAAAAGTGGAGTGCTAACTAACTTCCTTCTTAGTGGACACAAATTTTAGGTCAGTCCCATTTCCTTCTTTTGTACAGGAGATCTTGTCTCGGGGGTACGGAATCTATCGAAGAGAGGGTGAAGTTATCACTCATATTGCCAAAAATAGCTTAAAATGCATTCCTTTTAGATAGAAGTAGTTTCTCCACAGATAAGCCCAGAAGTTTGGTTGCTTTTGGAATGTGACTCACAGTCAACATATATAGCAAATGAAATTCACATATAATTTAAAATATTTACTTTACCCTGGAGTTCTCACCTTTTATTGTAACAAAAATACTTATTAGTAAAAACATGAAGCAACAATTAAAGGGATGCATTTTACCTTTTTAAATGAGTGAATACATATTCTCCTAACTTAAAATGATATAAACAGAGGCAGTTTTGAACATTATCAAGGGCTTTTTCCAATGATCCCACACTAAATCTCACTGAAAATAAGTCACAGTATCATTATCTTACAAGACTTTAAGTGGTTTTACTTTCCAAAGAAAAGTAATAAAAAGCTATGAAGTTAATATATAATTATTTTATAGGTTTATACTGAAAAAAACAAACGAACAAACTATCCTTTGCTAGACATCAGATAAATTCCCGAAACCCATCCTTACTCCAGTCCCGCTATGGTATCATCATTGAATAGATTAAAAGCCTAAGTGGTAAGAATTTCTTTGACATGTATATTCTGGAAAATATTTTCATTGAGGAAAAAAGTCAACTGACACAAAATAATATAAAGGAATGTATGTGAAATATTTTTCTAAATGATACATTTCTGTGTAAATGTATATTTTATTACTCATGGAATCCAAATCAAAGAAAGTTTCTTTTAGATAAAAAAGTAACTCCCACACAAAAGCACACATACACACAAAAGTATAGTATTGAAATACAGACAATAGAACAAAACTAGAAAAGAGAGAACAGGAGGAAGTAAAGACTAAAATACATGAAGCAAAGTTTTGATGTGAATTTAATTTTTAAAGTTTAAATGTGCATCAGCAATAGTTTAAATAATGTAGAAATAAATCCAGAAATAAGTGTTTAAAAAGCCTTTCCTTTCTGTGAAAAATTCACGAACATTTTGGATGTCAATTTGATAATATCCATATAACATGTTTGTAATATTTGGTACAGAAATTTCATTTCCAAGAATTTGTTTAGGAGATATACTCTTACAAGTATGCAGATTTTTATTTGCATGTTTTTGTTAAGAGGAAAAGCAAGAAAAATCTACCAAATGATAGTTTTTAAAAGCATAAGGTACATTCATATAATGGAAAACTACACAACCAAGAAAAACGAGGTAGCTCCTTATATGCTGATATTAAATTATGTGGGGAGTGGAGATAAAAAATTATGGAGAATATTTGGAGGAATATGTAATGATTGACTATCTCATTTTGGTAGACGTGTACTCCAGGAAGTGGGATAAGTATTAAAGTGAAGGGGAGGAGAGCTTTTATTTTTCACTTCATGCTAGTCTCTAAAACTATTTTTCTCCACTAATTTTTACCATTTTTCTTACTTAAAAAAAAAAAAGTTCAATATTAATATTGATGAGAAATATTATATATATACCGAAACTAATAAAGAAGAATTAGGATAAATTTAATAAAATGTTAATAGTACATTTAGGTAAAGTAAGAATGAGTAGACTTGAGCTCTGCTTAAATTCAGTACAGAATAAACTTTTTATAATTATATTAGAGTTAATATTTTCATAATCTTACATTATAGCATTCTTATGTTCTTGATTGAAAAAAAATCAAGACATTACTTCTATTTGAGTCTCCACATTCTTTTTCTTTTTTTTAAACTGTTTTTTTTTTTTTATCCTCACCCGAGGATATTTTTCCACTTTTTTTTTTTTTTATCTTCACCCGAGGACACTTTTTCATTCTTTGTTCAGATAGAGCAGGAGGGACAGAGAGAGAGAGAAACATTGATGTGAAAGGGACACATCGAGTGGCTGCCACCCACACGACCAACCAGGGCCGGGGACAAACTGCAACCGCGGCACGTGCCCTTAGCGGGAACCGAACCCGGGTCTCTCTGGACCGCAGGCCGACGCTTTAACCGCTGAGCCAAACCGGCCAGGGCTATTTTTCCATTTTTTGTACAGATAGAGTGGGAGGGAGAGAGAGGAAGGGAGAGAGAGAGAAACATCGACGTGAAGGGACACATCGAGTGGCCGCCACCCGCACGACCAACCAGGGCCGGGGACAAACTGCAACCAAAGTACGTGCCCTTAGCGGGAACCGAACCCGGGTCTTTCTGTACCGCAGGCTGACGCTTTAACCGCTGAGCCAAACTGGCCAGGGCCTTTTTCTTTTTTTATATATGTTTTTATTGATTTTTTTAGAGAGAGAGGAAGGGAGAGAGAGAGAGAGAAACATCCATGTGAGAGAGAAACATCAATCGGATGCCTCCCGCATGCCCTCTATTGGGAATCAAGCCCACAACCCAGGCATGTGCCCTGACCAGGAAACAAACTGGGACCTCTTAGGCCATGGGATTCCCCTCAATTCACTGAGCCACTCTGGCTGGGCGAGTCTCCACATTCTTGAACATTCTTATGTAGTACATTAGAATTATCACGAGAGACTCCATTCATAACATATTCCATTTTAAATTTCCTTTATTAATTTCTGTGACATGTATTCAAGGTTGTGTGTATTAATTTACATTAATTTTAAATAATAAATATTATATTCACTTATTATATATTATTCTATTAAACTTTCTACTGAATAAGGTAAAACATAATTCTTCTTGTTAGGTAACCCCTGTTTGAATCTCAGATTTCCTATTAACATATATACAGATGGAATTTCTCAGGAAGGCGAGTTCATGTCCATGTGTCATGTTCTAGCCTAAGAACTCCATTTGTATATGATAATCGTCATCATACATTATGACTTCTAGAACAGGTTTTTTTGCAAGGCAGATTGTAGAAATTGCAAGACTTCTTTAATGACAGATGTTGTAGCAAAAAAAAAAAAAATCAAAGAAACTTTTTATTAATAAAATTTTTTTAAGTTTTTATTTTTTAAATATTATTGAATTCTTGAACTAGAAGAGGCCCTGAAGTTCATCTAGCTCATCTTTTCTCCAGATAGATAAATCCCTTCTCATGCAGGTGGTCATCAGCCTATGTCTTAATATTCCAGGGACAGGGTACACAGTTTCCTAAACAGCTCGTAACATCTTTAATTAGGCAGGTCTGGAAATTGGAAAGTATTTTCTCAAATGGAACCAACATCTATTTTAATAGTTCTGATACAGTGTCTATATTCCATAGCTTGGGATTTATCCATTCTACACAGCTCAAATTAAATTAATAGGTAGGACCAAAACTGTCCACACAGGACACATAAATGTAGAAGGCTCCATTTTCCCCTCCACTCCATCAGATTCCATGATGTACTTACTACTAACAGCATCACATTTTAGACTACTCTAAGGCTTTATATAATCATGTATCTTTTTCCTGTCATTTTTCAGGATAATGTGACATCAAAATTATGGAATTCATACTTTATAATATTTCACCCTATGTCTTTTTACAATATTTCCCTTTTAAAGCCCCTTTTCTCTTGTGAATTACACAAAGGTGCTGTGGTGTGAGAACTTGGCTTCTGGACCTGCACGCATTTTGTTCCTCTCACAAATGCGTCCTCACATCCCTATCCCCATGTGCGTGCCCAAGCGCTTGTTTCAATCAGCACGTTGTAGAGGTGAGCTGGCAGAGAGGATTTCTAATCGATACAGTGCTCTGTGGACAAAGGATTTTACAGAAAGTGGCCCCTGTCACCCCAAAGACATAAAAGGATGCTCATATGCTTGTCCTTTTTCTTGTGCTCTGAACCTCACGGAGGGATGGTGGTTCAAGGCTCTTGCCAAAGCCCTGACTGGTACTGCTGCACTCTCACTCACCTCTTTCCTCCTGTCTTTGTCTTTCTGCAGCAACCACTTGACAGATGCCTGTGGAGACTTGGGGACACACTCAAGGAAAGTGGTGTTATTTTTTACTCCATACTGAACAATTTCAGCTGCATTTCTATATGCTGGGAAGGAAAAATAAATAGAGAGAAGAGAGAAACGATGAAATTTAGAGCATATTCCCCTATTTTAATGGCTATTTCTCTATACAGTTGTGATCAATTATGGCAGTCCCCCAAAAGGCAGTCTCAATCATTTGACAAGCAGACTGTTATACAGGGGCTGGCAAAAGTAGGTTTACAGTTGTTTGTGTGGAAAAAGACATGCAGGTTATGATTATTAACAAAAGCTTTATTAAATCTGTGTTTTGTGTACTCAGAACTATAAACCTACTTTTTTCAAACCCTGTACATTGTTTATCTGTTTTATTTAGTCTAAGAGAAGGAGAGAAAGTCATAAAGCAATCAATATTGATTAAATAACAACTCTACACCAAACAGTAGGGGTATAACAGTAACAGGAATGCCCTTGTAGCATTTGAGCATTCAATTATTACAACATCCTTACAACTTAGGTTCTCTCAGCTTTTCACAGCTGAGCAAACTGAGCCTGTAAGTTATGAGGAAACATACTCTAGCTAAGGAATTAGTAAGTGCCAGGCAATATTGAAGCCAGGTTCATCCCACCCCTAAACATCATATTCAACGTACTATAAACAAAATTCGGAAATATCAGAAAAAAGGCAGAAAGCAAGGTGTGGCCACAGTGAGATGGGGTGGTTGAGAATATAGTCTATAGAATCAAAGGTACTAGAGGTAAAATCCTGACTTCACTGCTACGGGCTGTGTAACCTTAGACAAATTACTTGATCTCTCTGTGTCTTAGTTTTCTTGGCTCTAAAACATACATTATAATAATTTTATACAGGTTCTTTACTGAAATTCTTAAATTAGGAAAAGCATTTAGTATAATTATGTGGTAGCTTAGACATGGCCAGAATACTCATTTATAAAGCAGGAGTAGAAATAGACTCTACTTTAGCACTAAGTGACATAATCCGTTAAAAAAATTAGCTCAGGTTCTGACACAAAATCAACATAAATGTTTTCATTACCTCCACTGCTAATACTCCTACTACTGTGACTATTAAGCAGAACAGACAGAACTTTTATAAAATACTCAATAAATAGAGAAAAAGTAACTTGAATTTATTCCCCCAGTTACATGTATGGAACAATTAAGCAAAATGTATTTTAATTTTCTCCTTGTATTTGGTGTAGTTAGTAACAAAAAAGTCATTCTTTACTAAAATAACACTCAGATTTTAAAAGATAAGCAATCCTCAATAAAATATAAGCAAATAGGATCCAATAATATATTAAAAAGATCACTCACCATGACCAAGTGGGATTTATACCAGGGATACAAGGCTAGTACAATATTTGCAAATCAATAAATGTAATATTAAATAAAGAAAGTGAATAACAAAAATTACATGATCATATTAATAGATGTAGAAAAAAAGCATTTGAAAAAATCCAAAACCCATTTTTGATAAAAACTCTCAGGAAAGTGGTAATAGAGGGATATCTCAACATAGTAAAGGCCATATATGACAAACCTACAGCCAACATCATACTCAATGGGAAAAAAACAAAAGCATTTCCCCTAAGACAGGAACAAGACAGAAATATTCACTTTCACCATTCTTATTCAATATATTACTGAAAGTCCTAGACAGAGGGATCAGACAAGAGAAAAAAATAAAAGGAATCCAAATTGGAAATAATGAAGTAAAACTGTCATTCACAGGTGACATAATATTATACACAGAAAATCTTAAAGACTCCACAAAAACAAAACAAAACAAAACACAAAACTACTAGATTTAATAAAGGAATTTGGCGAAGAAGCAGGATACAAAATTAACACCCAGAATTCAATGGCATTTTTGTACACCAACAATACACTCTCAGAAAGAGAAACTAAAAAAAAAAAAAAAAAAAAAATCCCTTTTACCATGGCAACAACAACGAAAAGATAGGAATAAACTTAACCAAGGAGGTCAACGACTTGTACTCAGAAAACTACAGGACATCGAAAAAAGAGGTAAAGAAAGATATAAACAAGTGGAAGACTATACCATGTTCATGGATTGGAAGAATTAACATCATTAAAATGTCCATACTGCCCTGGCCGGTTTGGCTCAGTGGTTGGAGAGTCGGCCTGTGGTCCAGAAAGACCCGGGTTCAGTTCCCGCTAAGGGCACGTACCTCGGTTGCAGTTTGTCCCTGGCCCTGGTCAGTCGTGCGGGTGGCAGCCACTCGATGTGTTCCTTTCACGCCGATGTTTCTCTCTCTCTCTCTTCCTCTCTCTCCCTACCTGAACAAAAAATGGAAAAATGTCCTCGGGTGAGGATAAAAAAAAAAAAATGTCCATACTACCCAAAGCAATTTATAGATTCAATGCAATTCCTATTAAAATACCAACGGCATACTTCACAGATCTAGAACAAGTACTCCAAAAGTTTATATGGAACCCAAAAAGACCCTGAATAGCTGCAACAATCTTGAAAATGAAGAACAAAGTTGGAGGGATCACAATACCAGATATCAAATTATACTACAAAGCCAATGTAATCAGAACAGCCTGGTATTGGCATAAGAACAGGCATATAGATCAATGAAACAGAACAGAGAATCCAGAAATCAACCCAAGACATTATGTTCAATTAATATTTGAACATAGGAGGCAAGAGCACACAATGGAGTAAATATAGTCTCTTCAGTTAATGATGTTGGGAAATTTGGACCAGTACATGAAAAGAAATGAAACTAGACTACCAACTTATACCATACACAGAGAATAAACACAACATGAATAACATACTTAAGTGTAAGTTGTGAAACCATAAAAATCCTAGAAGAAAATGTAGGCAGCAAAATCTCAGACATTTCATGTAGTAGAATTTTTAGTGATACATCACCTAGGGCAAGATAAACACAGGAAAAAATAAACAGATGGGACTACGTCAAACTAAAATCTGCACAATAAAAGGAACCAACATCAAAATGGAAAGGGAACCCACTATATGGGAGAACATATTTGCCAGTGATATACCTAATAAGGGGTTAATCTCCAAAATATATAAAGTACTCATACAACTCAACAAAAAGAAGACAAACAATCTAAATAAAAAATGGGCAGAGGACCTGTATTGCCACTTCTCCAAACAGGACATACAAATGGCCAAAAACATATGAAAAAATGTTCAAAATTACTAATCAGTAGAGAGACACAAATTAAAATGACAATGAGGTATCACCTCACATCTGCCAGATGTATAGCATCAACAAATCAATAAACAAACAGCAAGCGCTGACAAGGATGTGGAGAAAAAGGAACCCTATCCTCTGATAGTGGGAATACAGACTGGTGCAGCCACTATGGAAAACAAATTGGAGTTTCCTTAAAAAAATTTAATTGAAACTGCTATTTGACACAGTGATTCCACTTCTAGGAATATATTCTAAGAAGCCTGAAACACCAATCCAAAAGAATATATGTACCCTATGCTCATAGCAGCACTATTTACAATAGCTAAGATGTGGAAACAACCCAAGTGCCCATCAGTAGATGTGTGGTACATTTACACAGTGGAATACATTACAGATGTAAAAGAGAAGGCTCTCTTGCCCTTTCAGACAGCATGAAGGGGCCTGGAGAGTATTATGCTAAGTGAAATCAGCCAATCATAGAAAAACAAGTATCACATGATCTCACTTATATGTGAAATCTAATGAATAAAGTACCAATGAAGAAAATAGATCTAGAGACATGGAAGAAGGGAACAGACTGATGGATCTTAGAGGGAAGGGGAAATGAGGATGGGAAGAGATTAACCAAAGAATTTATATGCATATATACATAACCAATGGACTTAGACAGTAGTGTGGTAAAGGGAGTGGGGACAGGAGTTGGGAGGAGGGGGTCAATGAGAGGAAAAAAAGGGGACATCTGTAATACTTTCAACAATTAAAATAAATTTAGAAAAAGATTAGCAATCCAAGTCTCAGTGTTGTTAACAAGACACAATTGTAGCACCTTGATGAGTCAGGAGAAAATTCTGCCTGGAGATACTTCTGTTGGTTGGGTTGATGTCGGAAAAGGGAATTAGTGGGGAAAGTATAATGACAAGATAATTCCATGTCAGAATGGGAGGAATGAGATTAATTTAATTGTGAGACACAAGGCAGAATTGTCAAAAGCATATGGAATGATTATAAATTGTAAATCAAGGCAATAATATCTGGAGCAGGATTATTTACAATAACCAACAGGTAGAAGCAACCCAAATATCCAGCAATGGATAAAAAAATATTGATATACACATACAATGGAATATTTTTCTGCCTTAAATAGTAACTAAATTCTAACACATGGGATAATATGAATGAACCCTGAGGAAGACATTATGCTCAGTGCAAAGAGCCAATTACAAAATAACAAACATTAAAAGTTCCCAGACTTTTGTTTTTCACAAATTCTTAATATACATACAAATAGCATTTAATTTTTAATTACCATATATGAATACCAAAAATGCTTATAGCAAATCTTTCTTTAAAATAAAATACTTGAATCTCTTATAATGTTTCCCTAATTGAAATGTGATATGGAGCATTGCTGCTGTATACCAAGTTTGACCATTGGTCACTTTTAATACCTTTCAGATTAAATCCTCTGCATTGGGTCAATGGATTGCCATGTCTCACATCTTGTCTTCGGCTCCTCCTATAAGTGCAGAAATATATGAGAGACTTAAAATTAACACTATTAACACCATATTTAAAAAATAGCATTTCAAAATCGTGTGGTTGTCTAAGCTTTTATAAACAGGTCTGATTATCTGATATTTCTTGTTCAATACTTCACATTTATAAGGTGGGTACTTAACCTTGCTTCTAATCTAAATTCATTCAGTCTCTCCCAAACTACCACTTGTAATATAATGGCTACGAACCTTCTATTATGTGTATTTCCTGTGTAAGTGCTAAATTTCAAATTAATAGTATAAGTTTTTAGCATAGAGACATTCATCTAAAGTTTCCTAAAATGATAATGATCACCTCAAAAGTATCAAGTCACTACCATCTTCCTTCTTACACATTTTTCTTAATTAAGCATACTTTCCTTTCCTTTGTTTCTTTCTTTCTTTCTTTCTTTTTTTTTTTTTTTTTAGAGAGAGAGAGGAAGGGAGAGGGAGAGAGAGAAACATCAATCAGCTGCCTCCTGCATGCTCCCTACTGAGGATAGAGCCCACAACCTGGGCATGTGCTCTGACTGGGAATTGAACTGGGACCTCTCAGTCCATGGCATGATGCTCAGTCCACTGAGCCACACTGGCCAGGCAAGTATATTTTTCTTTAAAAAAGTCAATACTTTCTAACAGTTTTCAAATATATTAAAACTTCTCCAAAACAAATCATACAGAGACAGAATACGGATATTTAATATAAAGTTAAGAAAAATTGTTTATTGCTAGAATAAGCATTTTTCTTCAATGCCTTATTTTGAAAATTCTCAAGTTCACAGAAAAGTGGGTATATGAGTACAATGAACACTGGTATATCTAGATTCATGAATTTTATTTTGCCATATTTATTTATTTTTCTTTCATATGCAAGTATAGGTTATGTATGTACTGTGAATGCACGTATATAAAATTCTTTAGAAAATAAGTTGCAGACATGATGTTTCACCTTTAAATGCTTTAGCATGTATCTTCTAAGAACAAGTGATTTTCCTGCATATCATTATTACACTAAGTATATTAATATTTATTCAATAATATCATATAATACACATTTTATATTAAAATTTTCCTAGTTGTCCCCAAAATATCTCTCATAGATATATTTTTTTCAATGTTTTGATTTAAAAAAAATTTTTTTTTCTTTATTGCTTTTAGAGAGAGAGGAAGGAAGAGGGAGAGAGAAATAGAAACATTGATAAGAGAGAATATCAACTGGCTGCCTCTAGCATGCTCCTCACTGGAGATTTGACCCACAACCTGGGCATGTGCCCTGACCAGGAATCGAACCACCAACCTCTTGGTACATGGATCGATACTCAACCAGTGAGCCACACCAGCGGGCTCAAAATTTTTTTTCAAAGTAAAAAGTTGTTGGAATTAAGCTAAATAAAAAAAAACACATAATACATATTTAGAAATCATTGATAACACCACTCAAGTAACACATGTGTGAAATGTAGAAAGATCTTAAAAAGCTTACAAGTTGAAAATTATGGAGATTTCCCAAAATAGAATAATGGCTTACTGTTGAGAATGGCATCAATAAAATATGTAACATCTTTGAGTGAATATTGTCCCCACTCCTGCAATCCAGTGCTCCCTAGAAATGTGTTCTTTGGGAAATCAGATGCATAGGCAGCAGCAGAAGAGAAATCAAAAGTTGAGATAGACACATAACTTATGGTATAATTTTCTTCTTCCTATTGACTGTGTTGATGTTAAACAGCCAGAGTGTTTTAAGGTTATTCAGGATCTAATTAAGGTTTATTCATTGCATTTAGTTGTTATGTATCACCAGTTTAAGCATTTAAAAAATTTAATTACATTCCATGTAAGTTAGTCATTATTTAAATAAAAGTTTTAATTACTTGCAAACTAATTATTTAATTTCTTAAGGCTTAGTATTAGCTACATATTATTAATTTCAACTTTATTATATAGTACAACAAATCAAAATAGAGTAACTGACATTCTATTAGAAATGTTTTGTGGATCTGAATATTGCTATAAGAGACAAGGAAAGGAACTTTGTATAAGTATTGGGAATATCGGTATAAATTGACTATTTACTGTCAGTGCTGAGAAGTACATATGAATGAGCACATCACCTAGGTGAGTTAGTTGTTAAGTCTCTCTTACTATTTTTATCCTTAAGCCCTGCTGGTGTAGCTAAGTGGTTGACATCGACCCATGCACCAAGAGGTCGCCAGTTCAATTCCCAGTCAGGACACATACTTAGGTTGCGGTTCCAATTCCCAGTGTGGGGCATGCAGGAAGCAGCCAACTGATGTTCTCGCTCATCGATGTTTCTCTCTCTCGCTCCCTCTTTCTTCCTTTCTCTCTAAAATCAATAAAGAAAAAAATATTTTAAAAAATTTATTCTTTAAAGATAAATTAAAATATTTAGTAAGAAGAATAGAAATATTAAAATCATACAGGGATTATCACATTTATAAATCAACACTAATCTCAAAGTTATTGATAATTAAAAAAATTCATTTTAAGGTTACAGCAAATTGTTAATAGTTTTTGTACTCAATGGATTATACATGTGTATTATGGAAATATAGGTACAAAATTTTGTGTCATTTAAGTATGCTTTTTCCAAAAAATGTCACATGATCCTTATTCAATTATATATTTCTGTACAACCACACAAACACAAACTAGTGGAAGTCACTCTTGTCTGAGAAAATATGATTATTACTGTTCTCTAGAACAGTTCCTCTACCAGGTTTTCACTGCATTACATTTGCTATATATTTGAGTCATAGCATTATTTACTATCAGCCTGCTTGCGAGTGTATATTATATGAGCACCATGTGTGAGACTTAGGGCTAAACTGGTCATTTTCAGCCACCAAAACAAGCAATATCACTCACAATGGTTAAACTCATTTTTCTGTGACCAGCACTATGCCATGGTTTACTCATGCACATGAACCCTCAAGTGGACAATCTGAATCTACAGTATCACATAGCTTTCAGACATAAAAATATAAAAGACCATTATTATGGCTTCGTTTAGATGAGATCAGCAAGGCTGTCATCTGAGCCTGTTGGATGTGTAGATTCCCTGTAAGGCATTCATATAGCATCACAAAAGCATGTTGGTAGATAGATGATATTATATTGCATGTAGGATTTGGATTTGTCTCAAGTTGCTAATGTTTTCTCCATCATAGTCTATTTCTTTGACTAAACAATGAAATAATTTTCTTCTTGTATAGAAAACGGATATTTACTTGAAGATTGAACTGATTATCCTGTCTTAAAATATAATTTCTAGCTATGTATCTGAATCCAGAATAAATAACATTTGATTCCAAATTGCAATATTTGATACACATGCCCAAATATGTAAGATACTTGTGGGTGAAGAGAAATTTAAAAAGCCTATTTTATTTACTATGATCTAACTTCTTAAAAAAAAAGAAACTACTGAGCAATGATGTAAAACAACTTTATGTCAAAGTAGGGACTCCACTGGTTTCCAAGCATAACTCTATTTCTTTTTCCATTCAAGACATCTTTTTATTTCATTCCTATGAATTCTTCGATGTGATCTTATCCCTGATAGACTGTACAATTGTAATAAAACCAGGCAAGTTAATACTATTAAAGAAAATGAGTGTAGCTTTGGTGGGGTGGCTGAGTTGGTTGAAGTGTTGTCCTCTACACAAAAAAGTTGTGGGTTTGATTACTGGTCGGAGTTCATACTTTGGTTACAGATTTGATCTCCAGCTGAGGCACGTGCAGGAGGCAACCAGTCAATGTTTCTCTTTCACATCGAAGATTCTCTCTCTTCCTTCCTCTCTCTCTAAAAATTAATAATAAAAAAATATATATCATCGGGTGAGGATTAAAAAAAAGAAAAGAAAATGAATGTGGAAAATTCTCCAAATGAGCATTTTTATTATTACTATTTTATCTCTAAAGAAAATAATTACTACACACGGGAATTTAAGAAACAGTTAATTCATTTAGCAGATATGCTCTGCTTTTACTAAGTTTGGAAATAATTTGGAAAATTTAAATTGAAAATTTTTTAAAAATATTTTTTCATTGATTTTTGGAGAGGGAGGAATGGAGAGAGACAGAGAAAGAGAAACATCACTGTGAGAGCGGAACTTTGATTGGCTACCTCCTGCATGACCCCACTGGGGACTGAGCCTGAAACCCAGGCATGTGCCCTGACCAGGGATCTAATCAGCAGGACCTTTTGGTGCAGGGGAAGATGCCCAGCCAACTGAGCCACACTGGCCAGAGAACTAGCAAAGTATTTGATTACAGGAGAATTAAGTGGCACAGGGAAACCCTAGGAAGGTAGTATCTAAGGATACACTAAGCATATAAAACAAACAAAAAAAACAACGATTTAAAAAAAATTAGGTAATGTGAAAAAAAAAAGAAAAAGATAAACCCTGATTGAAATATTTGATGTATCCCAGGTGGGGGATTGTGTAGCAGAGGTACCTCAAAAATGAGAAAAAAATGTTTCCCAAAGTACTGTACTCTAGTTAACATATCCCTGAGAATCTCAAGTTAGAAAGCACGAACATTTTCTTCAGAGATTATTTGTGACACTAAACACAGCTGCTGCTTTTAGTGCCGGTTTTAAAGCACATCACAGTTGTCTGGTGACAGCACTTTTGATTTCCAGCTGACTGTTTGGTACTCACCGCTTCCCGGTGGGGTAGAACCGAGAGCAGGAATGGCCGTCCCAGGCACAGTAAGGGTCCCTGGCCAGGCAGCAGTCGGCGCAGGCTGTGCCGTAGATGTGGCAGCGATGCAGAGACACTTGGGACACCCCTTCATTGGAGCTCACATACAACTGTTGCTATTGGAAGAACGATGGTGATTTATTTCAGATGTGGAAGTTAAAAGAGGACTTTCAGCAGGAACACATTATAATATATGCCCACAAACCCTTGGCTTCATTTTGCAAACAGACTAAAAACGAGAAGCAAAGTCCAGCAGGGTATAAAGCCAAAATAAATAGAGTTTTCCTACGTTAATATGTCTATAACATTACCACTTTCCTGTTTTAAAAAAAAGTTCAGAGTACCATGTAGAATGGTAATGTGTTTTAGACATTGGGATTCATTGTTCTCTCAGATTTGAGCTAATATATTACAGATTTAAATTATGATGTTTGCTTTTTTTCCTTGAATGCTGTCTCTTAGCAGAGCACAAGGCAGCTTTCTTATTCTTCAAGTCTGGCAACCCATCACGCTGTAAATTTTAAAAAGTAAAGTCTAAAATAAAAGGCATTTTTAAGTTTAGAAGAAAAAGTAGACAGTAGTACATATACACATGCATATACATATACATATATATAAAAAACATTTTCCATACACCTTTGAATGTGACCTATTTCTCATTAGATGGTTTTTAAAAAATTATTTAGAAGAGTATCAGTATTTCTATTTAGTCGTGTCTTAAACTTTCTATATATTCAGAGCTATTCAGCACCCTAAGTCATGAATGAAGACTTCATTCTTCTTTTGTAGGGTATTAGGAATTTTTTATGATACTGCTCCAGTTCCTTTAACTGAGCAAAAAACAGCTCTCAGAAGTGGAAGGGATACGTTTTTAATTGACACTAAATATTTTACAAAGGACTGATACACAATTTGAAGTCAGCATAGAATCTCTAAGCTAGAACTTGGATGCATGCACACACACATTCGTGCACACGTGCACACGGACACACACATCTACACATACTCATACGACATATATACACTACTTAAAATTAAATCAATGAGGACATCATTGGTCTAGTAGGCTCTGGAGGCCTACTTCTGGTATTCAAATCCTAGCTCAACCATAAATTTGCTGTGGAACTTTTCTGAATCTCAGCTTCCTCTTTGGTAAAACTGGGATAATAGAGCATCTATCCTATAGAGTTTTGTAAAAACTAAATGTAAGGGCTAACTCCACATAAAATTCTTAGCATAGTTTCTGACTCCTGAGACCTCAATCAATGTTAAGTAACAGTAGAAGTATACATACTATCAATTTTTAATTGTTCAATTCTGATAAATTATGTGAATCACACCTCACTCTTTGTCTAATGTAAAATAATTGTTTTATTCAGATCAATTAATTTTTCAAAAATTTTGCTGAAAAATATTGATCCCCAGTGGAGACATTCAAACCATGAGACAATAACTGCATGTTTTGACAATAATCATTTCTCTAGCAACATTTGAAATAGTGCTTACTGAGTGCATTAATAAATGATATAGTGAATGCATCAAGTTCATTAAAAAAAACTGAAAAATCTGATTTATTTGAGAAAAGGATACAGATAGCTTCCTGCTAGAAATCATCTTTTTTATTAATCTCACTATTTTCTGCTATATGGAATGCAAGAATTAGGGAATCAGAAGTCTAGAAAGGTCAATCAAGTAGTTTGAGCACTAGGGAAGGTACTAAATTCATGATATTTAAATATATAAGCTACTGGCAATTCGTAGTTCTTTCACACTGTAAAAATAATGTAGCGTGCAGTTGGGAAAATCAAGTAATTACCCTGCCCACTATCTAATTGATTTAATTAAACATTTGTAATCAGCTACATTTTAAGATGTTGTGACATTTAACACTCAGTTTTTTCTGTGTGTGTGTGTTGTATATTGCAATTTTATGGAACAGAATGTGAACTACAAGTTTACAAGTTGAATTAAATGTTGTAACCTGTAATTGTACACTAAACTGCTACGATGCCACTCAGATGCCTTTGTGTTCATTCTGAATTTTGCTTGAATACTTTGTCTTTCTATTAAACTACTGTAAACAAAGGGCTTCCCTGCTGCTGACTTCAAAGACAATTCTGACTAGGGATCAGCCCTCTCGGACACTGGGGAAAATGACAAATGACTTCTCGTTACTTGGCAAAATGTTTGTTATGCACCACACAAACATTTTTACAGAGGAGATCTTTAGCATTGTTGTACCCTATTTATTTTTCTTCGTAAACTTACTCAAGTGAAAAATAGTACAAGACTGACTGTGGATTACTTGCTCATCTGTAACAGACCAAATATGGTGAAGAACACTAACTTTATGTCATTAGTTGTGCTAACACAAAAACTCTTTACTCTGTAGTCTAAGAAAAATAAGTCTTAGACTCTTAGAAACAGCAGTTAACAAAGACCCACTTTATTTTAGGCAATTTATATAAATTAATTTGTTTGTGAGAAAAGCATTACCTTGCAGGGGCAGAAACTTAGCTCCGTGAAGTTAAATGATTCATTTGCAATTTATGGTTAGGTTGGGATTCAAATGCATACCAGTCCTGCTCTGAAGGCTACTCAATTTTTTATTCTACTACTCTGGACCTTAGAATGTTTGTTTCGAGGTAGCGCTGGGGGATGGAGAGGTGCTTATTTTGCACATAAAGAGAGGTTGGACTGGGCTTCCTTCTCAGATCCTTGTGTATTTACATGTGCAGGCACAGAGAAGATTACACAATCCTGATAATCATATTTCTTCAACAAATCCTGAACCTGGATATGGCTTAGATGTGAAACATTCATATTTTTTAATGATATGTATAACTCTAAATATTAGCATTTTCTTAAAAATAAGCATAAAAAAATGTTTCCCACATTTGAAATGTGACAGCAGCAGGAACTCAAAAGAGGATTGATAACTTAGTCCAAGCCCCCGATAATGTCTGTGATGTTATAGTAGCCCAAACATTATGCCAAATTCTTTCCTCAGAAAGATTATTTTTATTTTGGTTGGCTTAACGCACAGTAATATTTGAGAATCTAGGATTTGCACAATGTTGGGATATCATTCTGTACATATGTATGTTCTGCTCTGATGAACTTTTATACAAAAATAAACCTGTTTTATCTCCACTAATAGCTAGTGAATTCTACATCAAAATTGAAGATGATTTTGTGGTAGTCTATAAACAATACTAATTATTTTGCTAACACTAAAATTAATTTTTCAGGAATTATAAATATATTTTTTCATAGTAGTAAAATTTTTTAACATGCAAAGAAAATAAAAGTGGGGTGGGTTTTACCTTTTTGGATGAAATTTTCATTGTTGTTATCGGAACATGATTCTGAAAAATTAGAGAAACATTATGTTAGTAGCTCAAATAATCATTAAGCAGAATTTTTCATACAAAATTTTTCTCTTTTCTGTTGTAATTCAATAAATCATAATTTCTCTCTAAATGCATATATACTTTCCAAGTCTAGCAATACTTGTTTATAATATATTTCCTCTGTTGGGAGTAAGAATGGATTTGTTACACAAATACTGAAAATGGTATATCTTGGAATATTGAATCCAATGAGTAACTCAGGACTGAATCTGGGTACCTGGATCGGGGGCTGTGGAATGGTACCCCATCTTATGACACAACACAGCACTCTGCATAAGACACTGTTGTTCACCTGACAGAGTTGCTTTGGAAAGATGTGTTAGCATGAACCATACTTATTAAAATTTTTTGTTGTTGTTAATCCTCACCCAAAGATATTTTCCATTGATTTTTAGATAGAGTGGAAGGGAGGAAGGGAGAGAGAGCGAGAGAGAGATCAATGTGAGAGAGACACATCAGTTGGTTGCCTCCCATGATCCTGACACATGACCTTTCAGTCTGCAGGCCAATGAGCTAAACCACTGAGCTAAACCAGCCAGGGCTTATTAATTCTTTTTGTTGCAAACAAAGTAATAGTGTTAGGGATTCTCTTTTTTCCTTATTTTTATTAATTTTTAGAGAGAGAAGAGATGGGAGAGTGAGAGAATGAGAGAGAAAAAAGGAGAGAGAGAGAGAGAAACATTGATGAGAGAGAGAAACACCCATTGACTGTCTTCTGTATGTGCCCTGACCAGGGACCAAATCCACAACCTGGGCATGTGCCCTGAATGAGAATCAAACCTGCCATCTTTTGGTGTATGGGATATGGGATGACTGGGATGACCCTTCAATCAAATGAGCCACACTGGCCAGGTCAGGGATCCTCTTTTTTTTTTTTTTTAAATATGTTTTTATGGTTTTTTAGAGAGAGAGAAATATCGATGTGAGAGAGAAACATCGATTGGCTGCCTCCTGCACACCCTCTACTGGGTATGGTACCTGCAACCTGGTCATGTGCCCTGACCAAGAATCAAATCGGGACCTCTCAGTCCATGGGACAATGCTTAATTCACTGAGCCACACCCATTGGGCAGAGATCCTCTTTTCATAAATGTAAACTAGTTAAAGAACCTAAGAATTTTCTGAAATAGTAATTCTTTTTGAAAGTTACTCTATTCATAACTTTACTTTTAATTATTAATTACTTTTAAGGATCAAATTTTAAACTTGTGATAACCTGATGAAGGTCTGTGAAATTTTATTTGATCAACTCAAGTGGGAGCAACCTCTCAAAATCAACTGTGCCCACAATGATTTCACTTTCGGGAGCTCTGTGTTGTTATATTTAAAAGATAAAATGGTGATACCTTTAAACACTCTATTACAACAAGTTTTGATCATTGCTTAGAAATACACAGGCATACAAAAGAAAGTATTGCAACTGTGTCAACCTAGGCAACTTCTAATAGTTGCATCTCCAATTCTAGTTAAGTTTAGGAAAGCTGGACATATTTTCAGAAAATATTTTGAAGAGGGGTTAAAATAAGAGATTTTGGTTCTGCACAGTATAAAAAACAAAGTGCCCAGGTTTATAAAGTTACATTGAGTTTTCTGTAGTATATCAGTATAACACTTAACTAAGGACTCTTTTCTATTAAATGCATTATTTCCTGACATGCCCATCACAGTATATCATATACACCCAATTATTTGTATCTCACCTCAGAAAATGTGACAGAAACACCATGTTGAAGACAGTAACTGTACTTGGTAACTGTATCTCTCAATTTAACCACATCATTCACTGGCACACGCATCCGTAAGAAAGCGAGAACGTTTTTAGTCTCTCTCGGGCTGATGTCCCCCACATACATTTTGACTGACTCTATTTTTCCACTGAGAGGTTATGCTTTGTGATGATAACACTAGCATGACTTGTATAACAGACCATAGTGGTTTGCACATGATCAGAAGACCTCACGATTCTTTGAGGCCTTTTCATAACATGTATGTTTGAGTTTGTGTCAAACTCACTTAATTAACATTTCCTGATTACCAAAGAAAAATATTTCAGAATTAAAAATGAAGTGCTGCTATATGGCAGTTTTGCTATCTTTAAGAGAAGTTCAGAATAAGGTATGTTATATTATTTTGGCTAGCCAAGTTGTCCCTACTGAATGAGAAAAAAATACATTTTATATGTGATAGGCTTCTAGTTAATCTAGGGAAACAACCAATTTCTTTACAGAGGAATGCATAGCAAAGGCATTTGAAAGCACATGGTTAACGTTTAATGAGAACAATTTCAATGTACTGATCATAAAAAAGGTTATGACAAAGTGAGCAGTATTAAAAATTGTAAATTTAATAATATTAGCAAATTTGTCTGAGTTCCTCATATTTTACATATGATTCATTTAAATAAAATATTCCTTCACATTTAAAATTCATTAGCATAATCTAACAGCATGGCATCTTGATTACTTATGAGCTTGTAAATTCAATATTTTTGGTGACTGTGGTAATGTATATTAATAAGTCAGTACATTCTGAGTCCAATAAACTAAGCAAAGCAACCCAATGGACAAGCAATAGTCTGCCCCCGAGTTCTGAAATGCTACTTTTACTCAGTAACAGGCTGACTCTAGCCTTTTGGTGTCCGTGGGCCAATGTTTCTTAATTGTTTAAGTTGGAAATGGAATGCAGTAGAATTGATTTTATGTCAAAGTTTCTTTTTCATCTTAACAGCTCCTCTGTCTGTGTCTTTACCCATCTTTTCAAAGTGGATAAAAGAGACCACTTGAACTACAGTGACCTTCACCTTGAGGAGAGAAAGATGTGCAGGACACCACAGATCCGCATTCCAGCTCACAGACCGTAGAAAACAGGCTCTGCCCTGACCAGCTAAGCTCACCCGGCACCAAACTTCCTTCTGTGTGTCTTTCTTGTCGTGTTTTGTTTTTTATATTTTTTAATGCCCAATTCAAGGACAGAAAGAATAATAGAGTGAAATCTCAAATTCAGAGAGAAAATAAAGTTTTGCATGATTAAGAAACATTTGTTTTACTTAATTAAGGTGACATTTAAATTGAAAGCAACTAAGAAAGAGAAAAAGTAGTTTTTCTTGAAACTGGTGACTAAGAAATATGGGAAAGTCTATCTAACAATCAATAATGGGAAAGTCGTTGGCTTTCAGTGGTTTATAAAGATAGATAAAAGCCCCTTCATGGCAAATCTTCTAGACCTTGACCACAAGAACTCATTTAAAAAATAATAATGATGAGAAAAATTCTTCAAGTTGTGATGATAGCTAAAAAAAATCAAACTAATTCTATTATGTTAACATAGCTTAAAATGCATAAAAATGCTTCAGAAAAATATTTGTTCTATATTTCTCATTTTATCTGGTATTTCCTACACTCAAAATTTATAACATTCTTTATTTGATCTTTTATAGAATATTATTTTCCTTCAAAGTGTCTGCAAGAGTAAAGGATTCTGTTCATCGTGAATGTTCAGGGACGAACAGAAGGGATGCTCAGACCTTAAAGACTTCCAGCTCCTCCAGAATGAGCTCACCGCCCGCAGAGCTGTTTGTGGGAAGAACCACCACCTTCTGCACGGTGCCCCGATCTAAATCAGAGGAAGAAACAGTGAGATCTTACAATACTTTTTTTGAAGGAAAGAAAGACACTTAGACATAAAATTACTGGCTTGGGATGTAAAATATTACTCTTTTGTTACATAAACATTTTTAACTGTATAGTTATGCCACTCTATGAATCATAGATATTTTAGATTTGAAAGAAACTAGTTGATATTCAGCAATGTGGAATGAAAGCGAATCTTTGAGTGATTTGATAAAGTAACAATACATTGCCTCCAAAATATGTTTTAATAAAATAATTAATGAGATATATCATAAATATCAAGTCATCATTCCTTAATGTATGAGCATGTGCCTGAGAACCTTTAATTTGGAAAGGTAAATGATCACAGATACTGAAACATTTTTTAATTCTGTTGACAAATGTCAATGAGAAGAGTTAACCTGAACTGAGTTATGTAGGACTTTACGACTAGGAATCATTTAGTGATGAACATGACACAGCTCAAGTCTCACATCTCAAACTGTCCTCTTTTCCACAGGCCAGAGATACTCTGACATAATAGATTCATTTCATGTTTATAGTTTCTACGTGATGAACCTAATAGAAAGACTCAAAATAATTCATAATAAAAAATAAACTTTACTTTAAAAGGTTACCAACTAAAAACTGAAAACTTATTTAAAATAAAATAAAAATTTATCTACAGAACAAGACTTAGAGATTTTTCCAGAACAATCCTTGAATTTTGTGAGGATAGAAAGTATCTGGTCTTTGAAGCATGTGATCCTAGATGTTTTAAACACTCTGTGACTTAAAATGCATTTCTTCAGCCACACTAAACAAATAAATAACAATCCCGAAGCTTTGCAGGCTCTAGGTATAATTCAAACATTTAAAATAGTTTAAACTGATTAGCTCCCTTAGAATAAGTCCTGATAACAACCTGTTCTATTGCCTTGGAAGATAAGGAGCGCAAGTATATATTGGAAGTGAAAAAACATTTGAGGATGCCATGCAGAGACGTCACAACTGAAAACTGATGAATGTGGTTGAAGGTGTTTCCTAATTTCTGTTAACAGTTCATTACAAAGTGCAGTGGAAAATTCTGGGGAATAGAATATACTAAAAAAACAAACAAAATGAAATCCTTGAAATTATAACAAGGCAAGTGTGTGTGTGTGTGTGTGTGGTGTGTGTGTGTGTGTGTGTGTGTGATGGACCAATGTGTAAAAACATCTTTGTTTTAGGTCATGTTATCAGAAAGGTCATACTTCTTATTTTTTAAGAAATCACAACAGAGTTTTATGGTTCCCTGCTGCAGCTGGTCAGGATCACTGCCATCCTACATGACAGCAATGAGTCGAGACTGAGCAGGAACTGTGTTTAATCCTAGTCCCAAATGAAACATCATAAAAGGAAATCTTGATTATAGGGGGTTCCCAAAGACAAAACTCAGCTCTGACTATAACTAATGAGCATTCTCAAGTGAGACAACTGGTTCCTTTTTTACCCAATGTCTTAACTTACTACGAGAGCAAAACTTCACATAAATCATTATTTCCTCTGAAAGAACCCATAACAAACACATATTATTCATGCCATATATAAGATACTACAAAAATAGCAGCTTTAAAAAAATGCTCTTAAGAAAAGGTAATGCAAAATCTGCTTTTTCTTCATTTGCAATAAAAGTTAGAACATCTTCCTTTTAGGTGTTTTTTTATTTTTTGCTGGTAATGATGAGTAAATTTTCATTTTATTTTAGACCAATACAGGAAAATATATTTTTTCTACCAAGTAAAACTGAATGTAAAGTTATCTAAAACTCTTGCAAAAATATAATTAAATTTAAGTATTGGTAATAACACTGAAAATGAAGTTTAAATAAAATTATATAAATGAAAGATCCACATACAGAAAACAAATATTTATTGGATACTATGTGAGTGGCTCTGTGATAAAAATGCATTACTTAAATCTAACTTTCAAGGAAATAAAGATCCATTTTAATTCTTTTACTTTTCTATGTTTAGACTTGTATTGGTACTTTAGGAACTAGCATTTCTGCAGAGCCCTTCATTGCACCGATTAAAATTGAATCAGTGTATAACAAATGAACATATTTGCTCTTATTATAATTACACACATTAAAAGGTTTTTATGCATAAGTTGGAAGTCATTCAAATTTGTGGTTTCAAATATGAATGGAATAGGTTTACATCCCTGTGCTTTTGTTAATCATCACTATAAACAATGGTTCATCCAGGTTTTATGAAACACTCAACTTTTATAGTTTGGGGGATATTCTTTAAATAAATTAATATAAAAATACAAACAAAGAGTAGTTTAAGTCTTTCCCAACAAGTACAAATGAGGAACTCTAAAGGTATGGTCAATATACTTGTGATAATTTGCCTAATTTTTTAAAAAAGATTTTCTAAAACTGGACAATGATATATTCTTTAAATTGAAGAAGTTCTAATAATCTAGTATCTACAATATCTTATTACTGCAATTTATTGTTCAAGATCACTCCTTCACATGTCAGCAAAAGGCTGGAACATTTCTTCTTCAGTTGAATATAAACAGATCAACCTCTTTGTTTCATTAATTCATTGGCCTTCTTTTACAGCTACCAAGATTATGCTCATTTTGTTTTTCACATGCCTCCAAGTTTATCTTTGTACCCTCCATACCTCTCTCTGTTCCAAGCATGATTACTACCTTCAGGCACACTTTATTCAAATTAAAATCCAAGTCACATCCCCTTTCTCTGCATACCCTGCAGTTTGGCATTATCCCATTTAAAAACTGGTGCTCAGAATTATATAGTATTTTTGTGATGATGCCAGATCTCACTGAGAGTGGATTATTAAAAGCCACAGTAATAGTTCTAACTTAGGGTGACTGCACTGAATCTCTAGGACTTGGAGCCTCAGAAACACATATCCCAACTGTAGTGTACACCGTTTGCACAGTTTCATTCTGGATGTCTTTATATTTCTGCTCCTGTTACAAACTGCCTGATTCCCACAACCTTTAGTTCAGATTCTCAAGAGACAGTTTTCATTTGGTCCAATTTAATCATGACTGAAGCACATCACAGACCAATACTTAGTAGACGGCTCTGTTGTCAAATGCTTAAGTGTCATTTCAATCAGTGGTGGCACTGGGAAAGTCAGTATACATAGAATCACCCACAGCTTCTCCCTAAGCAGCGCCACATTAATAGGATGGTTTTTCTCCAAATGCAGAATTGGTAGAATCCTACAATTTTCTTTTCAAAACTGACTCACAAATCCTTCAATTCCCTATAGTATAGAAAATACTTCAGAGGTATCTTTGGACTGTATCATTCACTACTAAGTAAATAGGTAGACGTGGGTCATCTTCCTTCCATTTTCACTCATTGATTCAACAAGACATTTTTTAACACCTTCAGTGTGTCAGGCACTGTATCAAGTATGTATGCAGAGATAAATAGGCCTAGCATTCCAGAGTTCACAGTTTATAATTTATGGTTTTTGGAGTAGCAGGTGTGCTTCCATTAAAATGTTAGTCATTGAAAAATATACATTTTAGAATATCTGCAAAAATCCCAGTCACATGTCTCTGTGTCTTTTAGTTTGATGACAATGTAGTTGTCAACTGTCTTCCTTCCTGGGGTAGTAAGAATGGCATTCCTTGAATGGACTCACAATATGAATCATTTTTATTATACTGCAGAATCGGGATATTGCTTTCATGTCCTTGGGAAAAGTCCCACACCTACAATATAGTTACAGTGAAGCAGATCACTTCCTTTTTTCCTTAAACCTCAGTTTGCTTGTGTGTACAATGTAAGTAATAATTATACCTTTTATGACAAAGACCTGTTACTAAGGCCTACCCTGAATCACCTCCCCTTCTTTTGATAATAACACCCTGAGACTTTTGGGAAACAACCCCTTTTTCATTTTCAGTCTGCATAGTTAAGGAATGCTGCAACACCTTTCAGCGCCAGGGAGACACACAGGACTCAGGCTGGTCCCGAAGGGCATTCCTTTGCTCTGTGATTCATGCCTGAATGAGCATAGAACAAGTCTGGGCCCAGCTGTCCTGGAGAATTAGAGGTGGAAACCTCTTTCTTTCTGAGATCGGGACTGATAGACACATAAATCAGGACGTGCTGAGGATTCATGTTGTGAGTATACCAAGGAATACCATGCCCCAAGAAGGAAGACATTCGATAACACATTGTCAGGTTCAAATGAAAGGATACAGAGATGGCTTTATGTAGACATAAGTAAATGGAAGTTTTATTGACATTCTAACATGCGTATCTTTCTATGACTAACATTTTAATGGGGGCACACATAAATTCCTAACATTATTTTAGCACAAAATCAGCTATGTCTGAGGCTGCCTCCTGCATTTCCCAGTTGAACACATACCAAAAAAACAACATATTTTTTAACTAGTTTGAGTAAGTGTGGTCACTTACAGTTGAAAAGTTCTGATTAATAAAAACTATATGAATAATACATGGAAATTGCTTAGCATAATGTCTGGAACATAGTCCGTCCTCAATAAGTCCAAATTATTTTTTTATTTGTACCTCAGCCACTTACTAAATTTTTGACATTACTGGAGTCTTCATATTTTTCTTAATCCTATTTTTCATCTATGAGCTATAGATAATAGGCACACATTGAATATATTAAAGCACTGTTACGTGAATCAAGCAAGATGAATCTTACGTGTTTTATATAATGTAAACCTACATACAGAAATAACATAGTAGACTCACCCACCCACATTAGTGATTTTAATTATCTTTTGTTTTGAATTTTTTTAAAAAATTCCTCAGACAACCTTTTTCCCTGTTTCATGTATTTTATGCCACCGAAAATTTTTTTCTAATATAAAGAGCATAGCAATATTATCCTTAAACCTTTCCACTGACTGCAGACAAGAGAACAGCTTGTATTTATAGCACAGCAAGTGTTGACTGTCTCAAACAAGTGATCAAACATAGCTCAT